TTATAGCTAAAACAATTTCAAAAATCAACTTGCAAAAAAGGAAAAATAACAAAATTTCAAATTCAAATTATACTAAATGATTTAAATTATAATTCCTACTCACTCAAAATATTCAGCTATAACTTTGATAGAAATATTTAATGTCCATATTATTAGAAGTATATCCAATGAAAAGCTATGAACAATGGAAAAATTTCTTTTTTTTTTTTTTTTTTTTAATTTAGATATTAAAAAAATTTTTTCACAAATTGTTGGAAAAATGTTTAATTTTTGAGAAGAAAAATAAATGCTTTTAAATTTATTAAAATTAGTTTTGATAAAAGAATTACCATTGAATTTTTCCTCACATTTATTACTTTTTTTTTTTTATAGAAGAAGTCATTTTACTTTAAAAAAAAAAAGTAAATATACCATCCAATTGACTATGAAGTATATGTTGAAAATATGGATAATTGTTGAGTGGACACGTTAAGTTATTGTCAAAGGTACTTTTGAAAATTGGCCATTGATAATTCTAAATGTTGACAAAGCTATTATTCAATTTGTAAACTACTAAAATTTATAACAATTTTCAATTTTTAAAATCTTAAAACTAATTGGAATAAAATAACTAAAGTAAACGAAATGAATTATTGCACAGCAAACATTACAAATAATAACTTTATAACTTAACAAAAAAAAAAAAAAAAAAAAAAAGTCAAAAAAGGAAGTAATACAATTACCAAATAATTATTACTCCTTTTTGCAATAATTGATTGTTCATAAGAATTGAATTGAACTGTTGACATGGATTGATTACAACAAAGAAATTGTAAAATTGTAGTAGATGATGATATTGATGGTAAGCAAACACTATATGATGGACAATAACCAGGTGGTATACATGCCAATAATTGTCCTCGAAATATAGAAAATTTAAAATTTTCATAATGCTTTATAAGTATTCAAATATTTTCTCAAATATTACTTATTAAAAATTCAAAAATGTGATATTATTAAAGATATTTATTAGTTGTAATAAATTAATATTTGAAAAGCTTTAAATTAGTATGTTTTTTTTTTTTTTTTTATAAAACTATGTACTATAGCATTTAATATATTAAACTTAATTTGTAATTAAATAAATGAGTAGATAAAGTTTTTTTTTTTTCGAGAAAATTGAGCCTTAAATTTATCATTTTAATTTACAATAGCTAGAATTGAAAATTTAAAATGAATAGAATTGAAAAATTGTCATTGTAATTTTGTGTCAAATTAACACGGTATTAATTAAGTATTAAAATGGATAAGTTCAAATGAAACTAAATAAGCATTGTTAGGATAAAATATGAAATTATTATAGCAAACGGAGTAAGCATTGCAGTGTAAGTGAAAATTTATCAAAATTAGCAAATTTAAATTTAAATTAAAACGAATATTTGGAAGGATTAGTAACAGAAGCAATACCTAAAAATTTTTTCGTTTTTGTGGAAAATTTATATTGAAATAATTGAGTAACTATATCATAAATTAAAAATATAATTTGAATAATAATATTGTTAGAAATATCAATATAATAGAACAAATAATAAATGTTATAAAATAAAAATCAAGTAAGAGAAAAAAACAAATTTGATTTTTTAAAATTAAAATTAAAAAAAAAAAATCTCTAGATCAAAAATTACAAAGGCAAATTTGTTGAATAATCATAAATTTACCATTACTACCGGTTGCAATTGATTGTCCATTAAGACATTGGCCAGGTTTTCTGCAACAAACCGTTTCCTGAAAACATCTGTATCCGGTTGGACAGTGAGCTGTCAATGAGCAGTAACGTGGTTGACCTGTTGATTGTTCCAGAAATGGTACTTCATCTATAGGACATAACCACTGCACATCTTAAATATATATATTTATATATATGAAGAAAGATTTTTTGCTGTGAAAAAATTAAAATTTTTTAAAATTTATTAGTTATAACAAAAATTTTGATAAAAAAAATTTGTATGAAAAATGATCAAAAATTTCATTTCTTTTACAAAAAAAAATATATATATATTTATGCTTATTTCTTTTATTTTAATTCATTGAAATTTTATATTTTTGAAATAAAATTTTCAAAATTTAAATAATATTATTGCAAAATTTTACTGTTAAAAGGAATTGATGTTGCATTAGAATTGTCAATTATAGACAATAAATGAAGGAAAATGATAATAATTAATTGATTAATTCGATTTTGATAGTACATCGAAATGCTATTCGTCGTAACGGAACAGACTAAATCGGTGTAATCGGTCAATTTAGTGTACCGTAATGAGTGATTGAATAGAGGTGGGAATGTACCTGGATTTTATAAATAATAAAATTTCATATTTGTTAAGCAAATAAAAGCTAAAAAGGAGGAAGAAAATGAAGTGAAAATTTAAAAGATATCAATAAATGGAATAATCAAAGAGAGAGAGAGAGAGAGAGAGAGGGAGGGAAGGAAAGAAAGAAAAGAAATTTTTTTTTTTTAAAAAAAACTTTGAAGAAAAAGAAAAAAAAAATGATAATATCTTGAATTATCTAATATAATGAATATGAAATAGAAATGAATTGTTAGCAAAAATAATTGTAAACATTGTAAACATTATTGTTGTGTCCATTTTTCCTTCTTTTATTTATTTATTTTTTATTTATTTTTTTTTTTAAAGAGCAATTAAACTATTTTAATACTTTTTGTTAATTTCCTATAAGCCACCTATAAATTTACATCCAACCATTGGGTAAAGTTAATTTCATCGAAACGTTTACACTTTATTCATACTAAAAATCCTTTAAGCTATTAGCCAAATAAAATGTTTACTTGATCAATATAAGATAGTATAAATTTGAACAGATTATAAATTGAAATGTTACTATTTTTAGGAATGTTATTAATCGAATTTTAAAAAAGGGCATGACCTCTTTTAGTTTAAAATAGTAGTAGTACTAATCTTGATCATTTACATTTATTGATTGATTTATTGATATTGATAGCTACGGATGTCACTTAAATTTCAGTCAAATTTGAATTATTACTGAGCAAATAACTTTTGAAGTAAATAACAGTTCGAAATTATTGAATGACAGTTTTCCTTCCAAATTTAATTAAATTAACTGATTGATTGATTGATACTAATGGTTTTAATTATAATTTAAATTTTCGACAAAATACTTGAAAAAAGATAATACCATTAGTTAGCCAAAACATGATGACATATATACCTTATATGAATTGATCTAAAATTTTAAGTAATTAATTAGATGAGTCATACATCTCAAATAATGAATGGTTTTCTTAGTTAATTAATTAAAGACATAAAATTAGAAATTTATTGTAAGATTTCTTGAGAATTTTGTTGAAGGAAAAAAATCATTGAAGAAAGTGTCAAAATGAATTTTGCAAAAAGAAGTAAATTAGTTCGAATATACCTGAAAAATTGTCAATCTATTTCCGTATTTCCGATTCATATTTTGACTTAAACTTTTTTTCCGATTCATATTTTGACTTAAAAAGTATTTCCGATTCATATTTTGACTTAAACGTTTTCTTTTTTTTTTTTTTTTTTCGAAATGAAATTCGACTAATAATAAAAAGAAATGTTACAATTATGATAGTTCTTAATCTTTTATTGTTTTTTTTTTTAACTTAATATTTGTTATACTATACAATTAGACGTACGTATATGACGTCAAATACGTGTATCTAAAAATGAAGGAAAGATTTTATACACAGTTATGTATGAATAAAAGAAAAAGCGAAAAAAAAAGGAATAAGCAGATGTAAGTAATAATAATCAAAGTATATGTTTGTATTCCGGAAGTTACAAGGTAAGAAATGTCCGGAATGTTAATTTAGGTTACTTTAAGGCTTCCGGAAGATTAATATTTTTTTGAATTTAGCTTATTTCTTATAGTTTTAGCGTAAAATTGGTAATAAGAAAAAATCTTTAATTTTATTTGGAAAAAATTTTTTTTTTTTGATAATTTATGCCAACTCGCTCGCATGTATAAGAAGCAGAGAAAAAAAATTTTTAAAATGGTTGCGCAGAAATGCACGTACGCATTTTGGTTATTGCGTTTTTGTTGTGAGTTATGAGATGTCGCGGGGGGTTCTCCGGGATTTTTATTAGTTGGTAGCATGGAAAAGGAAAGAAGAAATGCATTATTGCATTATTATCTCTGATATATCATCATTTTAACTGTGAAATTATCCTATGTGACATTTTCTGAGAGTTTCTTTAGTTCATTCTCGAAAGTTCGAAATTATTAGATACTTTGATATTTCTCTTCTTTCACTCTTTTCATATCTTTTCTTGCTTAAAATTAATTTAATTCTAAAGCATTTACATTTTTATGTTTTTTTAACATTTTATTTTTATTTTTTTAACATTTAACAGATTTTAAAATAATTTAATCCTCAAATTTGAATGTAATTACTCTTGAATGTTTCAAAATTTAAGATGTTTATGGTATTAATTGACAAAATTATCATTTGAGTTCATTTTTACATTTTATATTCGCATTAATCAGAAAATTTTTGAAACACTAAAACACTCTTAGAGATTAGAAATTTTAAGCCTTTTCTTTTGTATGTATTCGAGATTTTATTGTATCAATTTAACAGTTTGTAGTGGGTAAATTTTCATAAAAACTATCCTGAAAATTTGTGACAGTATTATTTATGAATCATCGTATTATCAGTCATGAAATCTTGAATATTAAAATTTTCTTTTCTTTCTTATATTATTTTGCTTCGTTAAATCTATCCTAAATCTAGGTCTAATTGATAAGCATTTCATATTATATTTTTACTCTGTAAATAATTAGGTAAAGTTTTTTTTTTTTTTTGTCAGACTAAAATGGTGAATACCTCACAAAGGATATGAGAGAGAGAGAGAGAGAGAGGGAGAGAGGGAAAGAGAGAGGGAATTTATCGATTTTATTTATTGGCAGGAATTTATGATTTGAGTTTAGCTTTACTTTTAGACTGTAGTATGCGAAAGATATTAATCTCTCAATTTAATAACGAACAAGTGCCAATGCTATCATCTCATATTTCCAATATACGCCGTATCAACAGTGATCCAGCAGAAACACAATCAAGAAGTGCAACCGATAACCGAATTAGTTTTACGGTGAGAAATACTCAACAATTATTAGTTACATTCAAATTTTGTAGAGAATATTTAAAAAAGTACCGTAGCATACTAGTTCATCTACAAATGATAATGATAACAATGATTAATTACAATTTTCATTTAATAGCATTTGGTAGAAAAAAATTCCAAATGAATTATTCACAAAAAGATACTATCGATTGAGTTAAGATAATTAAGATCATCGTTTATCGATGCTAAAAATATGCAAACTGAGTCACATTTTCGGGAATTTTTTTTTTTGGTGAGCAAAATTTTGAAATTAAAATTTTTTATTTGTTGAACAATTCCATCTTATTCATTCAGCAATTCGTTTACCATGCAGCTAGTAAAATTCTTGACGAATTCTCAGTAAATTCAAACAATTAAATAAATCAATAAAAGAGAATGTTGAAATAGCCGAGAGACGAGTACAACAGAGTAGGGACAGACATACAGAATAAGGGTGGTAGACATATGAATCTTAAGTTCAAGCATTAGTTAACAGTTTCCGGTGATCATTGGCATAGTTATTCCGGTTCAATGGATTTTGCATAAATGTTGAAATGGATGAAGAAAGCTGGGACCGTAAAGAGGAAAATGTGATACAACGATACAAACAGTAGTGTTTTATAATTTTTTTCAGAACAGTTTTTGCAAGAAATTCAAATTGATCTACATCTTCTATTCATATGACAAGAACACAATCCTTAGAAGTTTATAAAAGAAATGTAAAGCCGAAAACAGCAACAATAATTTTACTGATATAAGAATTGAATAAGGAATTAATTAATTAATTAAAGAAACCATGACCTAATTAACAAATTTTTTTGCCAATTTTGGCATTAGCATTAGTTTATTAAGTTTCAATAGTTTATCATTGTATTTTTCCTTCCTTTCGCACTTTCCCCTCCAATCTGTTTGATGATGATGATAATGATTTGCAAAGACATAGTTCAATATTGTGAGATGAAGACAAAATTATTTGGTAAGTTTATTTGGAGCAAAATTTGTCAATCTCTGACAAACATAAAATCAATGATTTTGGTAAATCGAATGTTGCTGCTTATCATTATTCCTCCTTGGAGCTTTTCAAGCGACAACTTACGAGATCCTTGATAAGATATTATTCAAATAAAATTTTTTGATTGCGAAGTATGAACAAAGGTGATTTTAAACTGATTAAATTGATATAACGGACGTAAATATAGCTGACTTATTGATCCAGTCAATTTTTGTCTTATTTTTAGTCTGAAAATACCGAAACGGGACAGATTACAAGTTTTTTTGCTGTTCGCAAGCGTCGAACTAGCGAAGAAAGTATTTCTTTGCTAAACGGAAAGAAAACGAAAGCATATGGAGCATTGGATCCCACTAGTATTTCTTCCAGTCGATTGGTTCCGTGTTGCAATTTCTTCGACGATAAAGAAAACGGTATTAATCGTGAATTCCTCAGTGAAGCGAAATTTGCTACCATTATCTGCATACACATATATAGTTATTATTATTATTACTGTAATTATTATTAGCTTCTTACTATGGATGATAGTTAAGAGATGAGCCTCATTGCGCATTGAAATGTGTCGCTTTTCCGGTGAACAGGTAATTTTTGTTTACCGTTGTGACAGATAAAACATTCAGCGGAGAAATGCGATTAGGTAAGATTAATTATTACTATAATATCTTGTAATAGGTTAATTATGAGCTGATACAATGTAATGAGACCAAATATCTACGTTATAACTTTCTTCTGTAAGAGATTTGTTTGAATTTGAAAGCAGTTAATCGAATTCAAAAAATAACTATTATAGCAAAATGGAGCGGTGTACAGGAGATTTTAGGAAATCAGAACTTTTAGCATTGGAGAATGTCGTACAAGTGGTACCGGATGCTGTTTCGAATACATCTCTCGGATTTTTTGAAATGCTTCCACCTGAGTTACTATATGTAATGTTTGACAACATTCCAGGTTTCTCACTTCGTTGATTCTCTTTTATAAAAATTTTTAAAAATTTTAAGAGCTGAGAGAAGAAATTTTGTTATGTATTGTCTTTCCAAAAGGATATATGACAAATGTTCACTTTCTATTTTTACTAAAAATGGAGCTATAATTTCAGTGCTACAGTTAAAACAACTATGTCTTTCGTCCAGTACACTAAATGCTAAAGTCTGTGAATACATCTCAATGGCTAGTACACGTAGGCGGTTTTTCACAGAAACAGGGGCAGCATACTACGGTGATTTTGAGAGCGCAAAAGATCCATTTTATGCTTGGGGTTAGTTCGGTTTGATTTTCAGGTGATGTTTTTTGTTAATGAAGTTGAGGTAGTATCATATGATGTATGATGTAACAGTGTACAGTCTGCTAGATATATTGGACCCAGTCATTATTTTAAAATAAATACAAGTAACATTCAATTTTTTCAGGTATGCTTCTAAAAGCTTGCTCAATTGTAATGAGTTTTCATAGCAGCCATGTTTTCTTGGCAAAATTCTTCATCAAGGTAAAAGTAACACAACTAGTTCATATCCTCATATAGTTTTTAAGAATTAAAAACGTTTAAAATATATAATTTTCAGAACAAAAAGATTGATAATTGGTGCGGTTGGGGTCGATGTTTTATGGCGGTAAGTTTAGACCAAACATACCTTTTATTAATTCGAGTTGTTTCCAACCGCTAATTTTTTCTTTTAGTGGAAACTAAGTTGAAATTTCCGGTGCATTTTCTTGGTTTATAGCAATTATTCTTAGTGCTTGTTAAATAGTCGACGCTCTGATGCTCAAGATAATAATGTGTTAAGGAGACAAGTTAAGACTTGTCTATTAAATTAAATTGGTCTAGTAAATTTTTTCTCTATCTTCTCTATTTTCTTGAAGTGATAAAAAATTAATAACTTTTTCTTTTTCTAGTTTTGCAAAGGATGGACGCACAATGAATGTGAGATGCTATTCCGGGCGGTGATGAGATTTACTGGCTTAAATGGCATTCTCAACCGTACTATGTCAAGAAAAGTCAAAAGCTATTCTCACTTAGAAATAGAGGTAACAATTGCGAGATTTACTGTAGCTCAGTTTTTCAAACAAACTTTTTAGATACGAGCCCGTCTCCGAGGTTTTTTCCTGAGCTGCTGGGAAAAGAATGATGAATCTTATGGATTCTGGATTTCACTTATTTTGCGCACTCAAAAGACTATCTCTCAACAGGGACAATTATTTATGATCATATTTGGACCTTTGAAGCTGGATGATGATAACTGCGGTAAGGAATGGCATTTACGTTCATCTTAAAGAAATTTTTTGATTTTGAAATTAAAACAAAACAATCACCAAAATTCATCATTGTCTACGATTTGAAGATACTATATAATTTCCGCTTATTCAGAGGTCATTGACTGGGATCTGTTAAGTAATACATCGATTGAAGATCGTCGTCTATGTGAGGAAATAATTGGTCCTATGTCCTTCAGTATCCACTGTATGGTCAGTAATGAAAATTTAATGGGATATGCATGGAGTGATTATCATATCTTCAATTTGATCGAGGAAATTACAAGTAAATAATTTGTGGTCTGTTGTTTTCAAAGAATTAAAATTGTGCGCTGCTTAAATTATATTTATTGATTACTCTCAAGCTCTATCACCTTGAAATAACGAAATCGCTGGCGTGCATGAAATGACATGCTGGAATTGCTGGAACAAGTTATGTGATAGAACTTCTAAGTTCGATGGAGCAGTATGTAATCTGATAGGATAAAAAGTGAAATGCAACAACCTGATATTAAATTTATCGCATTGACACTAAAAGGCTACAATCTGCAATTAAATGATCAAAGAATCCAGACTCAGATCAGATCCTTTTGTTTTAATATTACTGAATTATTATGCTGTTGCATTCGATTATGGTCATTTCAATTTGCTACTCAACTTGCAATTTCACTAAACTATAATTGAAATTGAAAAGTTTTTCCTTCTTCTTTAAGCAGCTCCACATTCCTGGACTCTTGACAACTTTGCTGCACTTTTGGCTCTTCGACCAAAACTTATCCATATTGCACTGCATGCTCGGATAATACATGGTCATCAAGAAGAAGCGGCTCATCTCTTTCACGCAATAAATTCGGTATATTTATGTGCAAATTTTCCTAACCATCTCTCAAATGAAAGTTATTATTAAAAAAAAGGTTAAAAAATTAAGTTCAACGCCTTTTTGCAGAAATACCTAACTATAATCTGGAGTATTTTAGATGTATCACTGCAGAAATTAAAGAAAGTATTTTTTGCTTACGTTATTTAATTTTTTGAAGGGAATAAGATGCTTATTGGCGCATAATTTCAGAAACCGATTTTTGCCATATATTTACCACAGAAAATATAAATTCAGCAATTTTTATTTTTCAAAAATCTCATAATTTATTAGAATCCGCTTTTTAAACTTAGGTTTTGCATCAATGGGGTATTTTCTCAAGCACAGCTGTGACCGGTGTGCTACTAAAAACATTTCGAGCCTTATCTGATATTCGCCGTCGCCTTTTTTTGTCTTCTTTTTTGAGAACCGAATCAGAGCTATTGAGCGATGCTCTAATGAACGAACCTTGTGGGTACTTTTATTTATTTTGAATCAGTAGAGAGAATATGTGAAGTTATTCCAAGGAATATGAAAATAAAATTAACTAATAGTAACTAATTATTAGCATTTTATGCTTTTTTAATCTTTTGTATTCATATAACATGCTTTTCTCTAGTCGATCGCGATTATTTTTATATGGAATTAGCTGTTGGACGCGCTGTATCGCCGCTAGTAACACTGATGGCGTCAAATGTCTGAAAGCAAAATTTTTAGTCAAGTTAAATTTTGTTAATCGTTATGCTATGTTGTATAATTTTTTTAATAATATTTTGTTTAATTTGATCATGTTTGTTTGACAATTTTTAAAATATTTTTTTACATAATTTATTTGTTGATAAGGATAAATTTGTTCTGTAATTTTTCAATGCACAGTTTCAGACACTCATTTGAAATTTGTCTGTGACTAAGCATGATCCGGAAAAACTTTTAAGCTGTAATATTTATTAACCGTAACACGGATGATAAAATGTGGCAAAAAATTTATTGCTATTATTTTTGACTATTTATCGAAATCCAAAATTCTTTGTCCAAATAAACCATTAATTTAATTTTCTATGCCAAATGAATTAAGTTTGTGTGCATTTTATATGATCGATATTGTTTTGTTTTGTTTGTTTGTTTTATTTCTTTTTGAATGATGCATTTTTGTGAATTATTCGTTTATGTAAATTATTTTCATTCCTTAATATTTTTATTATTTATGGTCAAAGCAACATATCAGTTTTTGTGAGTTAATTATTTTTAGTGGTTGCAACAACTATTGAAGTCCTAATATGATATAGCAGAAATTCAGTTACTACTGTTTATCATTAACCATATCTAAATTATCAATCAACTAGATTGTTATCATTATGCAAAAGAGTCTTTGGTCTTTTCATCTTTATTAGAAATCACTGCAAAAATAATTACAATTAATTCCACTAGTAAGATACAAATTAATACAACTGAAAAGAAAATAAACTAACAATCAACAAGAAAAGTAAGCAAATAGACTTATAAAATTCCGAAGAAACTTGAATATTAACAAACTATTAAATATATTTGAGGAAAAAAGAAAGATTATACATTTCTTTTGCTATTACAAAACAATTAACCAAAATGATTAATGAGCAACTTGAAAAAAATTAAATTTGGAAAAATTTAATTTTAGGATCAAATATAATAGTGATGGTTATTAAATGGGCTACATATATGCTCTAGTAGATGAATTAGTACATTTTTCGTTTACTTCCGATTCTCTCCAATATGACTAAAAATAAAATTAAATGTTTAAATTTATTATTCTCACATAAATACAAAATAATTTCAGAATTATTTTAAAATTCCAAAATATTTGAAATGATCGAATTTCATAGTTAAATAATAGATATAACATTCACTGATGCCTTTATTAGCAGTTTTTTTACATCTTATGATATTTGAACTCTCGTAAAAATTAAACCAATCAATAAATTCATAAAATACCATTAATGTTCCAGTAATTTTATTACATTCATAATTTCATTTCATTATTAAGCAATGGTAGAATGACGAAGAAGCGAAAGTTTAAAATTATTTATTTCCTTAAATCATAAAAATTAATTGAAATGAAGAATGGAATTCATCATGAGGAATGATTTTAAAAAAAAAAAAGTTTGTAAAGAGATAAAAGCTTTTTCCTAATTTATTATTTATATGATTAAACAATGATTTTCATTGATTAATTACATTTAATGCTTAGTTTGTTAATTAATAATGATTGACAATTATTTAAAAAACCAAAAAAAAAAAAAAAAAAACTAAAGTTTAAAAAAGACACTGTCATTTCTTATTGCAATATGAAATTCATTAAATAATAAAATTAAATTCATTGCTTTATTATTGTCTGTTTCATTTCATTTCTTTCATTTTGCTGTATTCTTGAATTAATCAATGATATTACAAAAACTGAAGGAAATTTTTCATATTATCACTTTATTTTCCAATGTGATTCATTAATTTGGGATTAAATTTGAATTAAATCTCCATCGATCACTTTTTCTTTTAATTTTTCAATTTTTTTTTTCACTTCAAACAACAAATTTGTTTTATGAATAAACAGTAATATTGATGTGATAGTGATAATCGTGTAAAATTGCGCATAATTTTCATTACTGATAAAATTTGGTGCGCAATTTTACAATATATGAATACTTTTATATACTTTGAAAGATAAATTACTCAAATAGTTTAAAAAAATTTGTTTAGAAAACAAAACAAAATATTTGAATAGTTAATTATTTTCATATTTGAATAGCAATGATTATTATTTTATTCTGAAATGAACTTTTAATGTGTGATATAAAATTGAACAAGAAATTTTTATCAGTAAATGGTATAATTTGATAACTGGGCGCAAAAGTAAGATATATTAGCAAGTTCGAGAAATTCTCTAATTTTGTTTAAAATAAAAATTTATTCATAAATGATTGAAAGAAAAAAGCGATAAGAACTTATTTCATTTGGTGGTGATAAAAGAAATAGTAATGGAGAAAAAAATGATAGTTAATCAGTTCGTTCTACAAATATTTTTAATTTATCAAAAGTGCTTTTGTACGTCAGATATTTGCTAACTGATAATTGATTAGGAAAGTTAAATTTATCAAAGTGCCAATAAAATATCATTATTGATAGTAAATTTCGTTTTAAATGTTTTGATAATTAGGTCGGTTATCTTTGATGACATATAACTTTTTTTACTTTTTTTTTTTTTTTTTTAAATCTCTCCAATGTTTATTTCGCTAATTATCTCAATTTATCAAAATTTAATTTTAAATTTTAATTGAAAAATTTTCATTTTTTTTGATGCTTTGTTACACTGAATTTTGTACACTTACAGGATTTAATATTGTACTAAGTGGAATTGATTTATACAATTTACTCAAAATCACCGTACAAATTTGTAATATTTTAGTATGAAAATTAAAAAATTTGGAAAACAAAGAGTTATATGAAAATTAGAAATGCATTTACTGATGAAAGGAAATTGAAATAAGCAAATTACATATATTTTTTTAATTTCCACCTTTCGATTCTCATAAACAGCTTATCAGTTCATTTCCTTTTATTTAATAACAAAAATAAAAAAAAGATGAGAAATTTACATGATTATATTAAATTTTTTCCTCTTGCACTGAATTCTCTAAAAATCAAAGATTAATTCTTAAAAGTTATGTTTAAAATATTAATTGTTTTTCATGCATTACATTTGCCTTGGTATTACTATTTTTCGTCACAATGGCGAAGCTATAACGTAGTGAACAAAGACTATTGTTCAAAGTGCTTTTAATCCACTTTGTAACCTTAACATCCATAAAATCCCTCCCAATTTCCTTCCTTACAAAGCCATTCATTATAGTTCTTTGTTTGGTATGGCTCGGTTGCGAGGTGTCTAGCTTGCTTATATCTTTAAATGTTTTATAATTGAGTTACATTTGTGTGTTATGTGTCAATTCATTATTGTATGTTATATAATTTTTAATATTAATCTGTAGTTTTAATTACTCAAATTTGAAGTTTGAATAATAAAGTATTTCACGAAGACTCTCACAGTACACTTACACAGAACGGAACCAGTACAGATTCGAGAATCTACCAGTATCGAAGACAAAGAAGTCAACGACCTGAACTGTCAAGAAAGGGAATCTACTTTGTTTCACAAGCAAACAGAGCAGTAAGAAAGAAATTCTAAATTTGCTTTTACATAATTTTTGGCGTTTCTTAGTTCTGTTTGCCATTATTTTCAGAAACGAAAAGGAAGAATTATAAATTACAATTTAGATTGATTGACTATTTATAAAATTTCGTCTGAATTTAAACTAATTTATTTCATTGCTATAAAAAGTTATAAATAAATTATTAGAAAAAAATATATATGTAATGTAATTCAGTAATTTTAGACCCAAATTATAATTCAATGTTTTGCAATGGGGAAAATTTTTGAAGGAAAAAAAAATTCGAATGAATATTAGTTATTATATTATTCATTTTCACCGTATAATTTTAAAATCATACAATTGGTTTTCGATTTTTAGGAATTAATGATGGATTTTTTTTTCTAAAAATTTTATTTTCAAATTACTTACAAAAGATTATTTCTATCATACCGATCTGAGAGGAAAAAAAAAACGATGGTTAACAAAAAAATTAGCTACAAGATAGTAATAACTTGGAACAAAAATTGTTTAACTGATTATAGAAATTTGTGGTGAAGAAGAAAAAAATCTCAAAAACAATGAATATTTTAGTTTCCTTTAATTTAACTTTTAAAATTTCAATCTCGTCTATGACAAATATACTCTTTTTATTTCATTTAAATAAAATTTGATCAATAAAAAAAAAAATATTTTGAATAAAAGTAATTGACGTAAAGTGAAACAAACCAAGTGCTACTGATAAATTCATAATCAGTGAACTAAATAAATTTTACAAAAACATTTTAATCATACAAATACATTAAACAATGATACAATTTTAATTGAGGTATGAAAAAAAAAACGTCACAAACTATCAAAGAAGAAATTTGTGCAAAATTTTTAAACATTCACAAATAATAAATAATAAGAGCAACAAATAATAAACAATAAAACAATAAGCAATTCATTTTCCTAATCTATTATTTTTTTAAAAAAAAAAAATTTTTAATCCTTATTCAAAATTTTTAAAAAAAGAATTAACAATTTCATACATTTTAATTGATGAGTAGCAAAATTTATTTATTAAAATTAAGGCTACATAACATGATGAGCACACTACAATACATAGAAGCCTACCATATAAGGCCTTAAAAACGATGAAATATTAAATAGCAAAAAAAAAATTTAAATTGCTAGCAATTAATTGTGCTTGTAGATTGTCTTTTTCGAAATTTCTTTTGATGCTTTTGAAATTGTTCCCTGATTTCAAGCAATGATACCGGTCGATTTTTATTATCAATCGATTTTGGAAGAGTAATTTTAAAAGTTTCATGAATTCGCTGCTGCTCACTTCTTCGTCTTGAATTTCGTAATTGAGGTATCAAAGAATGACGTCGATTGAATGATGTTGACAAATCTGCTTGTAAAGTTTGTTTTGGTTGATAATTCACTTTTGGTTGTGGAATATATGAGGGATAATTGCGACCTGATATCATAGTACCAATCGAATTTTGCATCAATGAAGATGATTTATCCTTTAAATTTCATTAATTACAATTGTTACAATAATAAACAATTAAATATGAAATATAGAAATGTATGCTTTTGAGTTTTTTATTTTTTTTAAATAAAAATTACCCTTAAATTTCACTAATTGCAATAATAAGTAATTGAATATGAAATATATGAAATGTATGCTTTTGAGTTTTTTATTTTTTTAAATAAAAATTACCCTTAAATTTCACTAATTGCAATAATAAGTAATTGAATATAAAATATATGAAATGTATGCTTCTGAGATTTTTATTTTTTATAATAAAAATTACCCTTAAATTTCACTAATTGCAATAATAAACAATTAAATATGAAACATGGAAATGTATGCTTTTGAGTTTTTTTTTTTTAAATAAAAAATACCTTTAAATTTCACTAATTGCAATAATGAGCAGTTAAATATGAAACTTGTAAAATGCATGCCCTTGAGTTTTTTTTTTCTTTTTTTTTAAATATAAACTATTTTTAAATTTTACAAATGCAATAATGAGCAATTAAATATGAAACTTATAGAACGTATGGTTTTGAGTTTTTTTATAGAAATTACCTTTCAATTTTATTAATTGCAATAATAAGTAATTAAATATGAAACATACAAATTGCACACTTTTTGAATTTGTTATTTTTTAAATAAAAATTACTTCTAAATTCCAGGTAATTTCAGTTAAGAAATGTATGCTTTTGAGTTTTTCATTCTTTAGAATGAAAATTGTAAGTTAAATTTGAAATTGATTGTAATCAATAATAAATGTAAAACAGTCTCGTTTATGTTATTATACACACTTAATTAAAAAAAAAAAATTGTTGTTTAGTTATGTCAAAAGAAAATTATTAGAAAAGTAAACAAGTAGAGAAATAAAGAATATCAAATATTGAGTGATAATTAATTTTAATCAGAAGCAATCAATAGAGTTTTATTAAAGTGATCTTTGACCGAAAACTTTTTCAAATTTATCACTTTCGATCTTGCAATAATACAAATAAACATGTATGGATATTATCAAGCTTACTGAAGGATTGAAATTAGCAAATAATTCAAAATAATCCTTATCAGATATCACTTCAAAATTTAGCTAATATCCATCAGTGATTTAAAATCATTGATTAGATAAAAATTTGGATGGTAATTACAGTTAAAAATAAAATTATTATACCAAATAGTAATGAATGAAAAAAAAGAAAATAGCAATATGAAATTAAAATTTTTAAATTGTTTATTAAATTTAATTAAATATAAAAATAATGGAAACAAATAAAAGACTTACAAATGTTGCAAATAATGATAATTTTCTCAATCGATCAGTAGCAGTTTTATTTGTGGATGGTATCGGTATTTTACTTGTTCGATACTCACGTGCTACACGTCGTTTCTCTTCACGCTAGAAGAAAAAAAGATGTTGTTGAAATTAAAGTTTAAAGTATCAATAATATTTAACCTTTGAACCCTTTTAACTGTCATATGTTTCATTTGGTTAAATTTACAAATTACTGACTAGAAAATACTAAACCAAAAAAGTTTTGAAAAAGGAAATTTTAAAAATTTACAAAATATTGAATTGCATTATTTTTTCTTTATTTCAAATTTAAAATGACAAACTTTTTCTGTTCTCCATAAATATTGCACAAAAATTCGCTTTTGAAAACCATAAACTTCAGTTGCATCTGAAATTGTACAAACAGTAACAAAATTAATTATAATAAAATATCAAAAATTAATTTACAATTGTGATATCTGTAAAATAGTGGCAGAAAAAAATAAATTTTTTATATTAAACAATGATTAGTAGTATTAAACTTATATTAGTAGTATCATTGAAATTTTAAGTTCAATTATTTTCCCATTTACATTTCAAAGAATTTTTTGCTTTCACTTTAAGAAATTATGCAAATTTCAGTTTTTTTACAAAATTAATTTAAAAGAATTATAATTTGGAGAAACAAAAAAATGAAAATTAATCAATAATTTAATTACTTTTCGTAACTGGATTAATACAACTGATAATTCGATGAAAACTGATACACGTCTTCCAGTGACTGTATATCCGTGATACTCTAAATATTAAATTTTAAATTAAATTCACACTTTAATTATTAATTAATAATAATTAGAAAATAGATAAAGTATGAATGTATATGATTGATTAGCTTATTTTAACAAATTGATAATACCGAAAAATTTGTTCTAATGGAATTGGTTCAATGCTAGCTGCTCGACCTCTTCGTGCATATGCACAACGTAATTCACCGCGGCAGAGTAATGCATCAACCTTAATTAATTAATTAAATAATCAATTAATTTAAAAAAAAAAACTGTTTATTTACAAAAGAAGTCAAAATTTTAAATTAATGGAATGAATTTATTTACAAAAATAATCAAAATGTTATTTATTTTAAATTAATCTTTTTATAAAAATACAAAAAATTATTTGCAAAAATAGTCAAAATGCTATTTTAAATTAATGGAATGAATTTATTTACAAAAATAATCAAAATGTTATTTATTTTAAACTAATCGTTTTACAAAAATTCAAAATGCTATTTTAAATTAATGAAATGAATTAAATTATACCTCATAAAATGTTTTCATCCCTTTCGATAAGTAATAGCGTACTCGAGAACTTGTTTGCTTCCACCATGATTTCGAATTTTCAATTATTTGTTCAACATCAACCAAATCACCATTAATTACAAAACAATAATTTTCCATAGCCAATAATGGTGGCTGCTAATAGAATGCAAAAAAAAAAAAAGAAATATGAGTTATTTTAAAATTAAAAAAAATAAATTAAAATTAAAACTTTTTTAATTAAATATAAATGAGTAAACAATTATGTTAACTAAAATAATTTGAAAGAAAGATTTGCTTTTTCTTTTTTAATCTTCAAAATTTTGATCCATATTGTCATTAAAATTTTTGGAAATTATCTAATTATTTTAATACTATTTTCAGTATGCAAATTTTTCTAATCATTTAAATATATAAACAATGTACAGAAAGAAAAAAGAAATAATTATGATGTGATAACTGATAGATTTCAATTTTGAATTAGAATTAAAACTTATTTAAATAAATATAAACTAAAACAATTAGACGCAAAAAAAAGCAATTGTTTATATAATTTTACAAAATTTTGATCAATTTTTCGATTAAAATTTATGAAAATTAGTTAATTATTTTAATACCATTCTCAATATGCAAATTTTTTTTAAATTATTTAAACACATAAATATTAAAAAAAGATTGCTAACCTTATTGATATATTCGAAAGGACAATTTAAAACACTTTTCAATGTCATCCGTGTATCCAAAGCTGTATTTTCAATTGAAAATACAGTTGAATCACCGTGCATAATATCTTTTTCCGAATCTGATACTATTAATTATCACAATTATCATTAACTGATAAATAATTTATTTATTATTTTAATAATTTATTCGTTTTTTTTAAAATTATTTTGATAATTTACAAATTTATTATCAATAATGAATAATGTGAGATTCCTCCTTTTTTTTTCAAATCAAAATTTTATTTTATAGTGATAAGTTAATGAAACATAGTCATTTTAAACTTATCAATTTTTTTAAACGAGTAAAAAATTTTATAAATTAATGAAAGATTGACATAATTTGCAAATTTATTATTAATAAATTTGTAAATTATGTGAAATCCCTCATTTTTTTTTCCAATCAAAATTTATTTTATAGTAATAAATTAATGAGATTTAGTGTTTTTTTTTTTTTTTTTTTTTAAATAAAAAATATGTATCATTGATACTATTCTCTATAAAGCAAGTAAATAATAATTAAAATAAAATAAAAAATAAAACAAATAAATAATAAATTAAAAAAATTTTTTTCCAATCAAAATTTAAATTTTTTTCCAATCAAAATTTATTTTATAGTAATAAATTAGTGGTGAAATTTAAAAAGACCTGAATTTGGATCAGTTTCTTGCTCTGATATTTCATCTCGATCAACTTCCACCGGAAATGCAATGATTGACTCACTTGAATCACTGCTAATACTGTCACGATGAGTGACACATGTTGCTTGAACCCTCAAGTAATGCATTTTTTTAATTTAATCATTTAAAATTTTTTGAACAGTAATTATTTATTAACTCATTTCAGTTAAGTAAAAAAAGGATAAATCAATCAGTTAGAAAATTTTGATTTAACAAAATCTAAAAAATTGATAAGAAAATTTTTCTTATAGTGTATTGTAATAACAAATTAATAGAATTTTATATCAATAAAATTTTATTAATTTCAAATTGTTTTCTTTTAATTGTTTTTTCTTTTTTTTTAAAAAAAAACAAAATGAACAATATAAAATTCTAATACAAAAAGTTAATATTTTCAAAAAAAAAAAAAAAAAAAAACTGCTAGAATTTAAGTTTTATGATTGAGTTTTTAAAAAATACCAAAAAAAATCAGCTGTTTCTATTCTTTTTTTTTACATTATCGATTAATTTTTTTCTTATTTTTTCAAAGTTAAAATTTTAATTTATAAACATATGAAATGCTTAACAAATAACAATAAATTTTTATAAAAAAAAAATGAATTTAAAATAGCACTGTACAATATTGATACATTTAATTGAATATATTTAGTTTCTTTTTCTATTTTCTATCATGTTAATCAAAATTTTTTTCTTTAAAAGTCATTCCAAATTTTAAATTTAAATTTATGATTGAGAAAAAAAAAACAACAACAATTAACTATTGAATTTAATTTGATACATAAGCACTGTATGATTTGCAGTTCTGTTTACATAATTAAATTATCATTATTTAAGTAAATAAAAAATTGAACAAACATTTGTTGCAGTAATGAAAATGAACGAAAAAAAAAAAAACTAAATTATTATAAAATATATATTATTTATGTAATACCCGAAATGTTATTTCATGATGCTAATCAAATTATGCAGTTAAATTTATTTAAAATTTTAGCATTTCAAAAAATGGTGACAATTAAATTATTCGAATAGATAAAATTTGGAAATAAATTCAACTAATTCATAAATTTACTTCAAATTCATGAGAAAATACATATTAAATCTATTAAACAGTGAAAAATTAAAAGTAAATTATAAAAAAGAAATTCACTTCCTACCATTTCAGCTTCACTTTTTCTTCTATCTAAAAATTTTATTATAATATAAACTATCACTGTTTCTATTATTAGTAAATTATCTCAGTGATAAAAAAAAAAAAAGTTTCAACCAATTTCAACTAATCAAATAAACATTTCAACCAATAGTGATAACATAAAAATAAAATTTTTCAACCAATCAAACAAATAATAGAATAATCGTATATTAATTATTACATTTAATGTATTATTAATTAATTAATTAATTAAATACAAAATATTCAGTTATACTGTATACAAAATCAAATTATTGTCATTTGAGCATTAATACAATCAATTGTACTGCACGAAAATGTATGAAAATAGATCAAAGATATTATTGAATGATTATTTTATCATATTCTGATAACAATGAATCTTCTGAGACTTTACATACTGTAATTAATTTAATCATTTTCACAATTAATTACAATCAATATTGTGCAATTCTCTTGCATATATGGAAAAGATTCATTGGAGTAACGATTTGTGCTATAAAATTATCACTGTTATCACTGATATCATTCAGAATAAATAAATAAATTATAAATTGTAACTAGTACACAATAAACCTTATAATTATGCAAATTATTTGCGAGGAATTTTTTTTTTTTTTTTTGAGAATATTATCAAAGAATAAATTTTAGTGTTAAAATCAATTACTTTGCAATTTTCCTCCTTAATAATTATCCAATGATTATTGTAGCTATAACTATTCGTCGTTCTTTTTTTTGAATAATTAATTTAACTAAATTTGTTTTTTTTTTTGAGAATATTATTGAGAGCACAAATTTTAGTGTTAAAATCAATATTATCAAAAAATAAATTTTAGTGTTAAATATTTTGAAGCATTCATTTGATAAATCATTAAAAAAAAAAAAATGCTTTTAGCAAAATGAAATCAAAATGTTCAACTTTCACTTATCAATATTTTTCTCTTTTTTTTTACCAAAAAAGAAAAACAAAAACAAAAACAAAATTTATCGATAGGTAAATTTTGTTGATTTTTTATTATTACTTATTTTAGATCTAGCAATTCTAGCAAGATCACGATTAAATTCACATTTCACGCGTTCTTTATCTGATTGTTTTGTATTACGCCAAATATGTTGCACAAATATTCGTTTATGAAAATGCGTATTTTTAATTTCAGTTTCGTTCACTTTATCCAGTAGCGTAACAATACGACGAAATGATGGACACGTTTTCCAGAAACTATAAATACGTGTAACGACGTATACCTGTACCAATGGTATGTTATCATGACGAAAAGCACTTGTAATTGATGAACGAGTTGAAATTGAATCAACTGAATGTGACTGATGTATGGGAATTGTTGATCGAATTGAATGTATTGAATTAAATGTTTGCGCTTTCGAACCGATAATTTTTACAGCAATAATTTTTCCTTTAGCTTTAATACAATTAACACGTTGAAAGTGACGTAAGTCATCCGAATAAAAGTATTGCGTTGGACGACTTGTATGACTCCAATGAATATCATCGTGTAACATTGCTTCTGATCCAATTGTTTCACCATCAATTACAAAACAATAATTATCATCAACAACTGCTGGTGGTAATTCATGACTGATAATTGATTCCGGTGCATTAAGCAAATTTTGCAAAGCATTTTCCGTTTCAACCGTTTGCTGATGTAAGCTATGAATTGGAATATTTTGATAGTATATAACATTCTGTTCAGATGGTACTTCAGGTATAACTAGCTGTTGAATATTCGGTTCAGATATAGCTGTTTGTTGAATATTTGATTGAGATGGTACCTGAGATATAGCTATTTGTTGAATATTTGACTGAGATGGTACCTCAGATATATCTATTTGTTGAACATTTGGTTCAGATGGTACCTCAGATGTGGTACTAGTCAGTTCCATTGAATCATAAGTATCTAAATAAAGCTCAGATGGTCGCATAATTTGCATATTATGACTGATAGATGATAATGTTGATAATGATGATTGTGATGATTTCGAGACGTATCCATTTTTGTCGCTGAAAACATTTCTTAAATTCTAATTTAAGAAATGAATTTCGGATTTGAAACGAATTCAAAAGTTTGAATTTCAAAATATTCAATTTTTCTTCTTTTTTTTGTTAGGTGTGAAAAATATGTTTTTTTTAAAAAAAAAGCTTTTTTAAACTAATTTTTTTTCTTTGAAAAAGTGATTTGAAACTATGAAAAATGAACATTTTTTCAAATTTTTTGACTTCTTTTTTTTTTTTGTAAGACAAAAAATTTAAACATAGTTTACTATTTGCTATAAATTTTAGTTTAATATATTGCAAATATTTGCAGTAAGTGCATAAGAAGAAAAAAGAAAAATAGAAACAAAAAACCTTTCTTTCGTGCCTTGCAAGAAGTGAAATGAAACAAACATATTAAAGTATAATCGATTTTGTCTTGCACAAATATCAAAATTGAAAAGTTTCGTGGATGAAAGTCAAAAATTAAAAAACGAAAATACAGTGCACTGGAAAAGATGTTATATTATAACACAAAGCTTAATTACAGGCATCTTTTTGTAATCTTAGCAATTATCAATTTGATTTAATTATTTTAAAATTAAACAATTTTAAAGATTACAAAAAGTTCTTGCAATATTTCATTTGATATTTGCTATCATTTGATTGCAACATATATAATAATTACAAATGAAAAATAGTTGAAAATAACTTAAAAATAGGAAAGATAGTTAATAAGTGCAAAATAAACGTATTTAAAATAGCATAAAGTTGAAAAGTTGAAATAATCTTAAGCGTATGTCAAGATATGTGAGATTGAAATTTAGATGGAAGAAAAAAGTATTATTAAATTATAAATGTAATTATTAAAAGCACAAATAACGAAACTTTTTCTAATATCTATCAATAAAATTTAAATCACAATATTATTATAATTAATTATATATTAATTAACAAACATTAATTAACAAATATGCATTATAATTAATTATATATATTAATTAACAAACAGTTTTAGAGTAGTAATCAAACGTGCAAACGTTAAAACGTCAAATTCATTAACACACTATCATCATTAGAAAGAAGGAAGAAAGAAAACATGAATAGGTTGCGTTTGCAAAAATAACAAATTGACGTACGTTAAAAGATGTGCTGCATGAAAAGGTGTGAACAGATAGATACAAACATACACACGGATAACACGTAATATGCGTAACACGTCGTTTTTTTTTTTAAGATGTAGTATGAAAGTCGAAAAAAAAATTATTATTTGCTTATAATGAATATGACAATTTATCTTTGTTTTTTATTTATTTATTTTTTTTAACTATAAATTTATATTTGATAAAATTATCATTAAAACATGAGAAAATGTAATGTAAATTAGGAATAAATTAAATGAATACCTTGCAATTTCTTCATGTTCCACTAAATAATCTTCATTTTCATATGTGGCAATCATCGAATTACTAAGAAACATTTCCGTGGCTCTATTTTCAGGCCTAATAAAATTTCCTTCCTTTTATCTCATTAGCAAAAAATGAAAGTTCAAAAAAAAAAAAAATTTTTAAATAAGAGATAAGCAAAAAATAGTTGCGAAGTTTTGCAACTTTAAAACAGTTTTGCACTTTTTTTGAAGAACTAAAACTGACTTTAAAAGTTTAAAAAAATATTCTAAAATAAGAGATTAAAAAAGATAGCTGAAGAAGTCTTACAACTTTAAAACAGTTTTGCACTTTTTTTGAAGGACTAAAACTGACTTTAAAAGTTTAAAAAAATATTCTAAAATAAGAGATTAAAAAAGATAGCTGTAAAGTCTTACAACTTTAAAACAGTTTTGCATTTTTTTTTTGAGAAACTAAAACTAACTTTTAAGAGTTCAAAAAAAAAAAAAAAAAAAAACATTTTTAAATAAGAGATTAAACTTTACAATTATCTCAAAAGATGGCTGTGAAGTCTTACAACTTTAAAATAGTTTTGTATTTTTTTTCGTTTTTTCGTTTTTTTTTTTTTTTTTTTTTTTTTGAAAGACTAAAACTAACTCTAAAAATAATTTTTCTCGGAGCAAAAAGTTAAAAAAAAAATCTTTAAAATAAGAGATTAACAAAAGGTAGTTGTGAAGTTTCACAACTTTAAAATAGTTTTGTAATTTCTTTTTTTTTTGAAAAACTAAAACTGACTTTAAGATTTGAAAGTTGCAAAATAAAAATTAATTAAAATAATGAATACAGAAAACAAATTAATTAAAATAATGAATTATTTAACTTACTCTGCAAATGGTTTGCTTGATTCATTCAGCATTTCACTGTATGAATCCCATTGCATCATAGAGGCTAATCCAGTAGGCTATAAAATGTCAAAGGTTAATTAAGTTACAGTGCTAAATTATATGCCTAAAAATAGCCAACATAATATATGGCCAAGAAATGGGCAATAAAAATGAGCCAACATTTTGCTTCAATTAAATATTAATGCTTTGAAATGATAAATAATTTTTTCCTGAAGCAATTTTTCAAATAATTCAAAAATATTACACTGCTTGTAGGTGATACATGCATAACGGATACTGTTTCTGCTAATTGTTGCTGTGACAAATGTGACAATTGAGACGATGACAATGGCTGTCCTTTGATAGGAATGGGAGAATTTGTTGCTGCAAATTTATTCTTATAATTTTTTTTTTTTTTATAACACTTAACAATCTTTTATATTATTCATTGAAATTTGGAATGTAGTTTAGTTAATTAATTAAGGAACAAAATGAATGAATAAGTTATTTTGAATAAATGAATAAATATTTGAGCTATTACACAAAAATGAATAGATGAATTAAATGATAAAAAAAAAATTTACCAATTAATTTCAAATTTGATAATCGTTCAGATGAGGAAGTCATAGAGAATCGATCAAGTGGTGATGATGGTTTGCGATAATTTTCATTTTTAATTCCTTCTAGTGATGTTTCTGGTAGTAATATTGATTGAATTGATGAATGATTGGAAAAATTTTGTTGCTTTTCTGAAACTAAATAATTTAAAGAAAAAATAAAAGAGAAAGATGAAAAAAGAGAAAAGTGACCAATTGAATAGAAACTTCTGAATAATGTAGTAACAAAATTGAAATTTTATAAAACTAATAGAGAAAAGTATAAATTTTTTGTTAGTATAAAAAAAAAATAAATAAAATAAAAGCTAAAAAAAAAAGAAAGAAAAGGAAAACTTGACCATCAATTTGATTACTAGGATTTAATTTATTGTGTAATTGCTTAAATCCTTTTTCATCACAAATTGCACTGCAAATTAAAAAAATAAGTGACATATTTAAATTTAATACAAATGTAATATTTGCAAAAAAAAAAAAAAAAAAAAAAAAAGTGAAATGAATTTAATTTGAAGTTATTGTACGGAATTCATGTAGAAATAAATTAAATTCATATGTTTAATGCAATTATTTATTAGCATACTATAAAGTATTAAAGTTGAAAGTTCAATTTGTGAATATCAAAATAATACGCGATAGAACTTGGAAGACATTACAGTGATTTTGACGATGATTGCATACTTGCAGCTGCATGAAGTGTAATCTGTGCATGTTCAATGGAAGATATTTTATGTATTTCTATACTGAAAATATTATGCTTAATCAGATCTGATCAAAGATCAGAATATATTTGATTTTAAATTAAAATTTAATTTGTTTATGTTAAAACTTAGTTAAAATTAAATTTGTTTTTGCAACATACTATCATTGTTATTGACTCAATGCATTAGTTTCATTAATGCAATAGTATTGATAAATTGAATTTGAAATAATTTTAGTCTTTTTGGTTAAATTTTTCTTGTGAAAAAAGAAATTCAATAAAATTTATTAATTATTATTGTTTGTGTCTTTTAATAAGCTTAATTTTCATGATTTCATACATACTTGAAAGATAAATGAATGGAAAAGAAATGAGGAAAAAAAAAAACAAAACAAATAGTATTTGATGTTTTTCTAAATTTTTTTAAACTTAATTATTTAATTTAGATTTTTAATTCTTTTTACTAATTCATTAAGATTACCATTGTAAATCACTGTTATTGTTATCATCACTGATATCATAATTTGATGGAGTAAGCATCTCTAATGCATTGTTACATAAATGCCATTTTGATTCTTCCAATGATTCATTCCTTTAAATTATCAAATTAATATTTTAAAAATATTTTCATTTTAAACTTATTTGAAAGGAAAAAGAAAACAATGAAAAAACTTATATCTATTATAGAAATAGTATTATCAATCAATAATTCAACACAAATATCTTTTCAAAGATTGTGCTATTTTATTAGCATAGAAATTACCCTGCTTCTTGAAGTTGTCTGAGGTATAATTTTAAAAGTTCATCACTTTGATCAACTGTCAAACCATGTTCAATCATTTGTCTTCGTTTGAGCAATTGCAATATATCGGCAGCGCGAAATTTTCGGCCAAAATAATGAATCTTTTGAATGTATTGAATACCAACCAAATCGATACACATTGTTGTCACAGCAAGACCAAATCCCAGATAAATCAACATGAGCAGTACATATCTGCAAATTTCAAATATCAATGAATATGAAATGAACTAAATTTTTAATATAAGAATTCAAATTAATTAAATTAATTAATTAATTAGGGAGAGGGAGAATTACGAGAAACTTCCAATTTTTCCATTTTAAATTTTTGAGTTTTTATTATTTGAATCTGAATTATTCGTTTCGTTTTCTCTCTCTTTCATAAGAAAATTTAAATAATAGAATTGATGAGTTAAAATAATATATACATTCTTGACATATTTTAATTTTCTTGGTATTTGTACATTTTGACACAATAGATTTAATAATATATAAATGATAAATCATATTTAATCGTGCTTCTAAATTTTAAACGTAAATAAGCTTAATTTATTCATATTTTAATTTTTGTAAATTGAAATTTATTTTTATAACTTTAATTGAAAAAAAAAAAAAAGAAACTTCTCTAAAAATTATCATTTTTGTTTGTTTTGTGCTAAAAACGAAACTTTTTTCATTTGTAGAATGTTTGCTTACTTTTATGAACTAATTTTATTATTTATAAACCTTGAAAATTTCATTAGTTTCAGCGAAAATTTTGATTCAAATAGAAAAAGCTTACTCCTGACTTTCAGGCACAAAATCACCAAATCCAATTGTAGTAAGCGAAACAAAACCTAAAAAAGAAAGAATTCAGCTTTATTTTTTTCATTCATTTTTTACTGTAATATTCAAATTTAATTTCATAACTCATTTAGAACAATAATTTTTTTTAAAATTATTTTTTGATATATTTTGATTCATTTTATAATATATAATAAAAGTATGAAACATACAAAATAAATAGAAATATATATTTTGAATAAAAAATTATTCATTACATTGGAATAATTAAATATTCAATTTCTAGCACTAGTGCGCATAATTTTAATAACAAAATTAAAATTAATCAATGTAATTAATCAAACTATTAATGGTAAAATTAAATAAACTTTATAAAAAATTAAGCACACAGTTGAATTTTGATTGTTTTTTAATTTTGACTTATAAAAATAAAATTCTAAATAATATGAAAATTTATAATTACAAAAATAAAATGCGTCCATATAAGTCCATGGTTCAAACGAAGCAAATAGAAGACCACCAAAGGCAATGTAAAACTAAAAAAAGAAAGAATGATAATGAATTGATAAAAAAGAATTGATAACAATATCATTGCAATGTTAGTAATGTTTATGACAGTCTTAGTAGAATAACAAGTGCTTATTACTTCTAATTTTCTATTAAATACTTAGCAAATTACAACAAAGTATCTATTAAACATATATTTATTAAATGCTAAGTAATTTTAATATCAATTCGAAAATTTTAAGTATAGCTTTAAGTTGTTTGAAGCATTTTAATCGAAACATTAAATATTTTATCAATGTTTTTTTTTTTTTCCAACTTCCTTTTTTTCAGCCAATTTGTCGATTAAGTCATAATAAAATGAAAAAATAACTAAGATCGAAAAAGTTTTGCTTAATCTATTATTAATTGATTTTGCGATGAATTTTTTAAAAGATTGCATAGCACTATTCTTTTCAAAAATTATGAGCATTTATAAATTAAATTTTGAAAGCTCTAAATGAAATTGTGAACTGTCAAAAACACTTAAACTACTAGAAAAATTTAATATTAATGCATTTTAAATTATTTGCTTGAAATGTTACAAAAGAAATAAAACTGTAGTCTAACAACTAATAGTCCCCCTACAGTAACACTATACAGTAATTTCCCTAATACAGTAAGACTCTACACAAGCACCGAAAGTTTTTTATTAAATAATTAGTAATTCTATCATTTTAATTTATGGTACTATTTTACGATCATGAAGTCATTTAAATTTAATTGCTACTTCATTAGGTTTTTCCGGTGATTGCAATTCCGGAAAGTTTTAAAAATAGCATGAAAAAAAAAAAAAAAAAAAGGAAAAAGATGACGACATCTAGCTTGGTGAAATGGATTTTTTGAAAACTAACGAGAAGTATAGCAAAGACTAAGACTAAAGGCACTTCCGCTTTATCCAATGCAAGGTCATCCCAATTTATAAACTGTTTCATTGCTTCATTAGATTTGTCCGATGACCTTAATTCTGGATTACCTGAAAAATAACGGAGGAAAAAAAAATCAAGTTATGAATTATTGATCTAAAATCAATAAGTAAGTTCTCAAAAAAAAAAAAAGATATCACTGAGTGATTTTATAAAATTGATATATTACGAGAAGATATAAATGATGCAAATGATATATGATAAGATATAAATATGGCACACTATTACTGATTAAAGTGCATTTCAAGTGCGATAATTTCTTCTGATCCGTTTTGATTTAAATTGACGAATGTATTATAGTAATAGCATAGCATAGTAATAATTGTAATCAAACTTCAATGAAATTTGGTCTTTTTAGTTCTATAAAAAATTAAATTTTTTGTGAATAATAAAAGTGAGGAAAGGATAACAAAAGTAAGTGAAGAAAATATTCGCTTATATTAATGCAATATAATAATATTTTGTAAAAAAAATGGCAGTAATCAACGTAAATAAATTTCAGTTATACAAATGGAAAAGTAAGAATAAAACGATAATTGAATAGTTAATACAGTGTTTTATAAAAATAAAAGTTAATAAATTGAAATCAAAATTTATTATTTTGAATTTTTAATCAAATATATAATAAAATATGAAGGAAACAAACGATTGGTTAGCCATTTAAAATTGATAAAATGACGTGAACAGCGAGATTTTCTCGACTTAGTATAAAGCCATATGATACATTCCGATAGAAATTTGCCAAGGTCACCAATTGTTATAATAGCCAATGGTACACCAAATAATGCAAATATAATACAAGCAATTCGGCCATATGATGTTACTGGGACAATGTTACCGTAACCTGATAAAATTCATAAACAGTTTAAAATTGACGGAAACTGTAAGTAAGAGGGATACGGTATGGCTGTTGCTAGAGTACGGTGTTAGCCGTAGCTAGAGATACAGTACTAGCTATTATCATGTATAAAACATTGTAATATTAATGAAAGGATTAATAATAAGACTGTTAATATCATACTAATATACTACTTTTATTTTAAAATTAACAAGATAACCAATGGTTATTAAATTATAAAACTGTTTTTTTTTTTTAACTCACAAATAATTAATCCATTATTAAAAATTGTGGAAATTAGAATTTGGTGAAATTGATAAATAAATACCTAAAGATGCATACAATATAAGATTATTTACCTATAGTAGCCATAGTTGTTGCTGCAAAGAATATAGCACTACTTGCAGTCCATAATTTTTTGCTTTTAATTAATTTTAGTCGATGTTTCGATTTCCTTCTAAAAAAAAAAAAAAAAAAAAAAGAAAAAAGAACTTACCCTTATTTGTTATATGCAATACTAAATTTTGATAATATAACATTTGAGCAAATTTTAAAATTATTTCCTCAGCAATTATATTTCTTAACTTGCTATTGAATTCTTACTTTAAACAATGATCACATCCAAGAATGATCAATAAAATCAATCAATATTGCTATTTGTCAATATTAAAGTTGGAATACATTTATTTGTTAGCATTACTTCTATCATATTTGTTGTTCACCTAGACAACTTGTTTACCTAAGTAATTATCAGGTTTCCAAATTTTTAGCATCTTGTTAACTCGTAATATCCAGGTAACCAAAATGTACCTATACCTTCTCCCTTTCGTATTAGTGTTGCGTTTATCGATATTTGCTTTGAAAATGTGAATATCTGCATATCTGCAATAAATTTCTTTTCTTTTTTTTTTTTTTTTTTTGAAAGTTACTTTATAACATTTAAATTTTGTCTTTTTTTAAAGAATTAAATTTAAATTTTAAAACATAAATAACATATGTATATATTTAAGTATTTTAGTAATAGATTACTAGTACTAATGCAATATACCTAACATAATGTTCCTTGAATGCTTTATACAAATATTCATTAAAAGTTTGAAGTTTCACGTCGGTCACGCGAGTCCAACTATCCATTTTGGTTCTTTTCAGTTCACTACGTTTTATCCATAACGCTTGAATTAACTCTTTTCGTAATTCATCAATCTTTTCTATACCAATTTTCTTCAACTAAAATTTAAAAGAAAAAAAAAAAAAAAAAAAAAAAAAAAGCAACTATAATTACATATTTCTAACTGATAACAATCTGATAACAAATGAAGCATTTTTTTAAAAATTTTGCAATATTTAAAATTACATTTGTCCAACTTTTTTTTTTTTTCTTGAAACTTTGAAAAACCATTCAAAATTTTATTATATTACTTTGCAATTAATTAACTTTCAAAAATGATTCATATTATAATCAAATGCTAAAAAATCAACCTTATCTTCATGAGGTGATTCGAGACTATAAAAAACCCAAGCACCAGCTACCGCATATAAACATACCACAGCAACCAAGATAACATGCGGTAAAATAAGTTTAATATACTGAAAATTTACCGAAATGCAAAGAAACTTCGAAAAGAATCGATTATTGATTAGTTCGACAATTTTTAAATTTTATATTATTAATTTGTATTATAAACAATATATTATTAATTCAAATTTAGGACAGCAAACAAATTAGTATAATATATTTTTCTTGAATTATGATTTAAAAAAAAAAAAAAAACAGATATCATTTTATTTCTCTATCAGAGATGGATGAATTACGATTTAGTCTGCAAATCCTTCTAATGTTTACTTGAAAATAGACTATTAAAACAAAAACAGTCTTTTTTTTTGTTTTAATTTATGAACTTTTTTGATTGGACATAGTCATTATCAGATTTCCCAATGAATTTATGCAATTTTAATTCTCTAGAGAAAAATTGAATAAATGCCGACTGAGCCGAGAAGCAAAATAAGAATAAGAAATAGACAATATTCTTATTATTACTGTGTACTGATATAAGTTAATTATCACATTTAGATTGCAAACAATTAGGCTTATTATCCCAATTAAATTAATTAAATTGATAAAAAAGTTAAAGTCTGTTGCATAAACTACTAAAAATTTTTGATCATTTTATCATTGTATCATTTTATCAATTTTTTATTAAACAAATTTAATAATTTTTAACAGTACCACTAAGTGATAATCAAACACATAGTTATTTGTTCATATTATTATTATTTCTTTTTTTTTTTAAATTTTGTAGCTCAAATCAAATTTTCTGTTTATTATTTAAATTCTATAAAATATATTGGTGCATGCAAAATATTATTTTTATAAAGCTAAAAATGTCAAAAAGTAAAATTATAATTTTTTGCATAATTAAAGTTATTGTTACCAATCAAATTTTATGCTCAATTTAAAATGATTAATGTTAAGTAAGTATTATTAAGATTTAGTATTATATAGAATTAAAGATTTGGTATTATATAGAATTAAAAATTAAGTATTATGTAGAATTAAAGAAAGGAAGTATTTATTTAAAATAAATATTTAAATAAATAAATAATTAGATTTTTTCTTAAATTTTGTAGCTCTTCTTGTGCTTCTGGAAATTCAGATGTTGAGTAAATTATTTAAAAATGTAACTTATTTGAAATAAAGACATTCTGAAATTGAAATTATATTTTGAAAATACTGATGAATTTCAAAACCTTATCACTATTCCATTGATTTTAACACATGTGGTGTGCTATGTGATATATTGCTTAACATTTTATTGTAATTTAAATTTAACTTTTTCATTTAAAAAAATTTTTTTTAAATAAAAAATAATCTTAAATGAGATTCTGTAAATATGATACCTTTTTATATGAATGCGACGGAATATTTTCCTTGTCATCCAACAATTCTGTCGCATCTCTTAGCTCTTCACCCATGACAATTATTCTAAAAACAGTACAAGCAAAGGAAGAAATTAAAATTAGATTAAAATTAGATTTTTATCAATTTTTATGAATGCCAAATAAAATAGCTTCCAGTTTTGCATATATTTAAAATTAAAAAATTTTAAATAAGTTGAACTAAAAAAAAAAACTTTTTCTTTTAAAGCCAAAAAATGCTTTGTTTTTTTTTCTTTCTTTCTTTCTTTCAAAACGAACAATTTCTATTTAAAGAAAAATAGAAAATTGGTTTTTTAGCTTTAAAATTAAAATTTCAAGAGAGAAAATGATGCATGAAGAAAAATATTATTTGATTCAGTATTGGTAAAATAAAAAAATTTTTCATTAAAAGAAATGATATTAATAAACCTCTTTTATTAAAGTAATTTTTCAAAGAAATATTTTTTTTTCTTTTTTTTTTTTTGATTGAATTAAAGAAAAAAGCATTTTTGTTTCGATAAATTTTAATAACATTTTTCAATTTTATTTTCTCTTCAATCAATGCTATCTTTTTTCATTTTTTAATTCATTTCATTAACAACAGTATGTCTTATCAGTAAATATTTACATAAATCGGTAAGTTTTACTTTGATCAGAATTAGTTGAAAAAATCAAAAAAAGTAAAACCAAAAAATAAAAAATAAAAAAAAAAATTGGCAGTAAAAAATAGAGGAATATGTTTTAATAAATTTTAAATTAGTTGTAATTGTATTGTATTAATTGATTAATTAGCTGGTGAGGAAATGTTAAAAATTGTGAAAGATCTAATCGTCTGATTTACACTGCTTTTATCAGTTAACTGATAAAACTATTAGATAACTGATAAAATATAGGAGCGAAATAATTCAAAAATTGAATTGGATTAAGATAAACTAACTTCCGAAAAATAATAGTAAATACAATGCAGGAGTAATTTTCTGTATATTTGTGAGTTAATTCAATTCAATTCAAATTTTTGTAACATTTTCCATTCATTCCAGAATTATTCATAATTTACATTTCTAAATTTTTTGGATGGACAATTCATAATGTATTGATAGTAATGAAGATAAAATATGAAAAGAAAAATTTTAATTTTTTATTGTTATTACAATTTTTGAAAATTTTTTTTCAATCAAATTTGTGAGAATTTCAAAATGAAATTTGAATGGAAAGAGATATACTGGAAAAAGAAATAGTATGATGGCATATTAAAGATTAATTAGTGATAAATTATTATGTAATTAAGAAAAAGGTAAACGAATAAAATTGTTAATACTGAATTGAATACAAAAAAATTATCATATATTTGCTTATCAATCAATATTTCATGTAATCACTGCAATTTATATGCATGCAATTGTGATAACGCAAAAATAATAATAATAATAATAATAATTAAATAAATTAAATAAAATAAAAGTTTAGCTTATCGATTAAATTGTAAAAAAATTTAACTATTAAAAAACTGTAATAAAAAAGATTAAATATTGAAAAGGATTTGCTGTAAATAAATAATATAAAACTTTAGCTTATTAATTAAATTATAAAAAATATAAAATACTGAAAAGGATTTGTTGATTAAAAATAAATAAACAAAACAAAACTTTAGCTTATTAATTAAATTATAAAAAATACAAAATACTGAAAAGGATTTGTTGATTAAAAATAAATAAACGAAACAAAACTTTAGCTTATTAATTAAATTATAAAAAATACAAAATACTGAAAAGGATTTCTTGATTTGTTGTAAATAAATAATATAAAACTTCAGCTTATTAATTAAATTATAAAAAATACAAAATACTGAAAAGGATTTGTTGATTAAAAATAAATAAACAAAACAAAACTTTAGCTTATTAATTAAATTATAAAAAATACAAAATACTGAAAAGGATTTGTTGATTTGTTGTAAATAAATAATATAAAACTTTAGCTTATTAATTAAATTATAAAAAATACAAAATACTGAAAAGGATTTGTTGATTAAAAATAAATAAACAAAACAAAACTTTAGCTTATTAATTAAATTATAAAAAATATAAAATACTGAAAAGGATTTGCTGATTACAAATAAATCAATCAAACAAAACTTTAGTTTATTGATTAAATTGTAAAAAAAAAAAAAGTATTAAAAATTGAAAAGCGCTTTATTACTAATGTTGGATTGAAAGAAAAAAAAAAAAAGAAAAATGAAATCTTAAAATGAACTAAGATTTGAGAGGAAAGAAACGATGTATAATAGCTCAAAATATTCAATATTCTTCTTTTCATGGTAAATTGATCAGAATAGAACTGAGCAAAAAAAAAAAAAAAAAAAATGAAAAAAAGAAATGTCCCAAAGGATTTTAATTGTTGCTTGGGTAGTTTGTTTGTAGGAAAAGTTTAAAATAGAAATTTGAAAGGATGAAAATTACTTCTACAACTATTATTGATCAATTCAATCATTTAAGCACGAGAACACGATGAATTATACTTGATGACATCGATCAAAATTTAATTTATGAAAAAAGTTTAATAAATTTTTGAAAAAAAAAAAAATTTTTGCCATTCTTAAATGTTTTTTAGCTTAATCATTATCATTTTGATTGTTTGATCAATTATTGAAAACGTGAAATACGTAAAAATGTATAAGTTTTGTAGATACACTTTCAGTAATAAAGTATTTAATATTATCAAATAAATTTGCTTCATTAAAATATGATAAATTTAAAGAAAAAAAAATTTTTTTTTAACTTTCAAATTTGGGTAAGAAATTTTGGAGAAAAAAAAGCTAAATTTAAATAATGTTTAAAAAAAGAAAAATACATTGTTCTAAGCGCCAATTATTGTTAATTAGCGATAATATTTGAATTTTGCCAGCAATTTAGTATAACAAATTGCTTATCCTTGTATCCAATTAATTGTTTGTTTTGTTTTTTTTGTTTTTTTTTTTTTGTTTTTGTTTACTTAATCGATTTATTATTTTAATGTATTTAATTGTTTTTTTTTTATGACTATAATTGATTATTTTCAATCATTTATTTGATTTATTTTAATTTAAATAACATAAGTTGTTAAAATTTAAAAAATGTATTTTTTAAAAAACGAACGAAAAATTTGAATTATTTTTATTCGAAATTGATTAATTACAAAAATAAATGATAATAGTAATAATAAAGTTAGCAATTAAATTTTATACAATGACATAAATATATTTTATTTTATAAATTTGTTTAAAAAAGTAAAATAATAATTTGTGATAAATATAATTAGTAATATTATTACGTGTTAATTAACGTGAAATTACTTAAATTTGCAATAAGTATTTCACGGATTACGTAGCATTCGTCATTGCTCATAAGTTACGTAGAAGTACAATTGTAATAAAAATGAAAAACTTTAATACAACTGTTTTACCATTGGACGATCAATAAACAATATTAATGATTACTTAGTTGATGCTTCCGAATGACGTACGTTACGTCAATGATTTTTAAAATAAATTACTGTAAATTAAAGTCGAATTTTAATTACTACTAATAATATGCTACAAATGAAAAATACATCTATCTGAGCGCTAATAATAATGATCAAAAAGTTAAAATTAATCATTGATAGAAGTAAACAATTTAAAAATTCATAATATGATAGAAAATAAACAAACAAACAAACAAACAAAGAAAATGATATTTCTTAAAATGTTAAAATTTTAATTCTATCACATTCCATATGAAAATATTATTAAAATAGAATATATTGCATATTAAATTATATTAAATTATTGCTATTCAAAGTGTTATTTAAAAGAATTAAAAAAAAAAAATTAACTTACTTAGGAATACTTAATTAAAGATTACTTTTAAAAAGCTAGAAAGGTATATGAGGAAAGGTAAGAGAAAAGGATTAGAGAGAATTAAAGATAAGATATTTTAAAATGTAAGTGTGAAATAAAGTTAAGAAAATGGAGAAAATATCTCCCTAATGGTTTAAAACTTTCCATCCATTAATCATTCAATTCTTTTTATTATATGTGATTTATCACTTTTGTCATTCGTTTCTCTCTTTTTTTCTTTTTTTATTTTTATTTTTGTTTTGTTTTGTTTTTTTTTTCATTCTTAACAAATATAAACATTTATTAGTTAAAATGTCACTTTTAAAATTTTTTTCTCTCTCACATCGCAACTTTCAATTTTGTCATATTTATATTTACAAATACATCTAAATGTAAATATTTCTTATCGATCAAATTTATTAGTATTCATTCAATGAAATTTTCAATCTTTCATTTCATTTAATCATTTCGTTTTTAATTTTATTATCATATCATATATTTATTATCATATTATCAATTTTATTATCATATCACATTTATCATATATCATACAAATAAATTGAATAGTGATAATATCAGACTATTAATGAATTAACAGAAACGAAATGAAATAATGATAATAATAAATAGTAAACAAAAATAGAAAAAACAATTTAAATAGTTAAATGATAAAATGAGAATTAAAAATTCAATTACACAATCATAAATGAAAAATTTATATATCATAGTGAATAATTTAAATATTACTTACTTAGTTAAAAACTATTATTACGTATAATTCAAACACTACTTACTCAGTTTAAAAATATTACTTGTAATAATTTAATTTAAATATTACTTATAACAATTTAATTATTACTTAGTTAGTTTAATGTCACTTACGATAATTTAATTTAAATATTACTTATAATAATTTAATTACTACTTAGTTAGTCTTAAAATATTACTTAAATAATTTAATTTAAATATTACTTATAATAATTTAAGTATTACTTAGTTAGTTTAATGTTACTTACGATAATTTAATTTAAATATTACTTATAATAATTTAATTATTACTTACTAAGTTTTTCATGTTTACAACTGTTTCGTAGGAGGAAAGAAGGGAATGAAAGAAAATATTTCTTCCAATTTTCTTTTTTTTTCTCAAATGCTTCATTATCATTCATTGTTGTAATCTTTGGGATCACAATTATCATAAATA